ATTGCTAATTTAAACGTTCATTCTTTTTTTATTGTTCTAACGAATTGTTTTAACGAATGAAACAGCATAACAAGGTCGTACGTTCATTGTCTATTTTTTGCTCTCGTACCATAAAAACAAAATATTAATATTTATTCAAAATTTTCGTAGAATAGATTTAATTTTAGAAGCTTTTCTAATTTTATTTAAAAATATAATTGAATTAGATTAAATTATTTTGTTAATTTTATTTTTATTTATTATATATTTATTATATTTTATTTATAATATATTTATTATATTTTATTGTGGAATTATCTTTTCCGAATTATCAGTTTGGTCATCCTGCTGGAATCTATTAATGACTTGATGAAATCTTTTAACGAAAACAGTTATTAGTTTGGGAAGAACTTATTTCTCTAACAAAAAAAATTTTTATTAGTTTTAATTATTATTAATTATTAGTCTTATTTATTTATTTATTTTCTATAAAAATATATTTTTATATTATTTTTTATATATTTTTATATATTATTTACAATCAGAAGAATTTCCTACTGTACAAGAGATGTTACATGGAATACAAGTTTACAAGGAGATCTTGAACAATTGTGATGTGGAGAAATGTCTGATTAAATTTTAGTCTCGCACAGAATCGTGCTAACTGAAGCTTTAACAACATTCATAATTAATATAATTAATTTATATATCGATGTCACACGGAGAATTACGAAAGAATACATCAATAGAATCCTTATACATTTAGGGTTATTTCTTGAGCCCAATATTATTCAATTTTGCTATTATTATTATTAAATTTTTTTTTAAAAATAACATAAATTCATTAATCTCTCTCAATCAATTAGAATGGAATCTGATACTTTACTTTATATTTATTATATTATATTTGCATTTATATTTTTTATATTTCTATTTTTTTTTATTTATATTTTTATGAATTTTCATAATGATTAATTATGAAATCAAATTATATATATTTTTATTTTATTGAAATGTAAAATAATAATATAAGATATAATAAATATATACGTAATATACGTATATATATATATATATATATATATTTATCTAATATGAATATTATATATTATAATGTATTCAAATATGCATAGATATTAAAATAAATTGTAAAAAATCAATATTTAATTTTTGTTTTTAAATCCTTTCTTTTATTCAACGACGCCCGGAAGAGTATACACGTGCAATACATTGAACAAACAAAAATTCGAGTGAATTTTAACTCGTTGATAAAAATTCGGATCAACCGATCTCTCGTTCGATTTAAAGGGCATCAAAAAATGATTATTTAAAATTCAAATTATTTTGTTAATAAGATTATATAAGCATTGATATAGTAAATTATTTCTTCAATTACTGGAATGATAAACACTAATGACACATTTCTTCATATGCTTTGTATTTCTAATATTGTCAAATAAAAGAAACACATATTTTTTAAAATGTGAACTTATATTTTCGAAATCTGAAATAGTTATTTAATTTTTGGTATAACTTATTGAGCCGATCTCGACGGCACTGCAATGCCGAGCCGACTCGCGGCAGAAGCGGAGCAAGCCCCGGGGTTCCGCCCGGTTCCAAAAATCAGACTAATATTCTGACTCCCGGTGGGGAGTGTACCAGATATTAAGCTGATAAGAACAGATACTACACTTTGATCTTAGCCATCAGGCCGAGAAGCGATAACTACAGCGGTTTGAAACGCGTGTATTATATACTAGAATAGTCAAAACCACTTGCGAGAATGTCTCTGAAGATAGGGAACACCTAGCGGTGAATTTCGATACTACGAATTTCACACCATGCAAATAATACATTTCTATGTATAATATATATAATAAATATGTCAAATTAAGTAAACTATACAATAAAATAAATTTTTTCCCGTAAAAAATAATAAATTAAAAATGTAGTAACATATAAATATAATAATCATAATAAATCATAATATATATAAATCATAATCATAATCATAATATATTGCAAACAATAATTATGCATATACATAATAATAATGTATGCATGAATGTATATATATATATATATATATAGATAAAACATTATTATATTATATAATATATATATTATATTATATAGTATATTTATTATATATTATATTATATAGTATAAGGAGAAAATTGAAATTTTTTTTTATTAACATATTTTAATAAAAAATTTATTTTTTTTTTAATTTTTCAATATCAAATAATGAATAAAAAAATATTTTTATGTTGTAAGTAATTAAAATAAAAAATTTTTATTACTAAATAATATTTATTAATATTATAATAATTAGTAATAATAATAAAGAATAATATTTAATGAACAATAACTGATTTGAAATTAAATTTTCGTGACAAAAAAATTAATTATGGTTTAAGACAAATTCACAATCATAACTATTACATAATTTTTTTTCGCAATTATAATTTTCAATTTTCTTAAGAATTTACTATACTATAATTATAACAGCTTGTATATTTTTTATTTTTGAGAAGTATAAAAAATATAATAGATTATTTAATATTTATTTCTAATAATTAATTTACATTAATATAATTCTATACATATATTAAAATATAAACTGCTATTTCTAGAATTTAAAGATATTTTTCACTTTCAATTTCATTATATTTATAAATTTAAAGAATGTTGCATAAAATTTATGATATCAACGATATGTTTAATATAAATTATATAATGATGAGAAACTCATTAAAGTGATTCTTAAAATGTAATTTTACATTCGCATAAATTTTGATCCTATGAATTTTTAAAGTTAAAATTGTTATTTCAATTCTATTCGTTAAATTTTATCAAACGATACAAAAATAAAAAAGAATAAAAAATTTTTTAATCCCTAATGTGAAAAATGAAATTCAATTCTAATTGATTATTGGCTAATAGCTATTGGTTAATGTCTGTTGGTAATAAACAGATTTCCAAACTTGATAACAAATTTATGCATAAAAGTCGTTAATAATATTATTATATAATTTATATAAATAATTCATATAATGATAAATAAATTTGATTAATCATTCAATCTATTTGTATAAGAATGAATAAATACAACTGATATAATATTCATAATAATACTAGGGATATTTCATTTTTGTATTATATGCATTATTTTCAACCAATCAACTGAAGAGATAGAAAATTTTAAACTTAAATTTGTCAACGAATCTGTTAATCAGTTGCTGGTACCTTCTATATTTGATAAAAGATTTTAAATAAAAGTATTCTTACTATATAAGAAATTTAAAAAATTATAAAAAAATTATTGTGTGAGATATAAATTTTTATTTATATCGAATTGTGTAAAGATTGCAAGATTTTAATTGCTTCATATATACTTTAAAGGTGGATATATCATTATAAATAAAATGGTAAACAAAGTAAGTAATATTTTTACACTTTTTCGTAATTTTAATATTTTTTCTTTTCAGATTATGATTCAATATTATTCAACGTAATATCCGCTGTTATATTTATTTAGCAGTTACAATTTTTTAAAAATGATGGATAATTGTTGTGCTCCACAATGGGCAGATTTTACACATAGTCCTCAAGTTCCTTCTGATAGTTATTTTGAAGTAGAACATGAGGTGCATAAACCGCAAATATATTTAAAATCTACTACATATTCAAATTCATCTTTATCATGTCTAAATGAAAATAAAAATGATCAATCAATAACAGAAGTGAAATTTGATGATAGTTTAGAGACAGAATCTCCTGCACGTAATAGTGTAGCATATTTTATACCATATGACAATAAAAAGCATTCAGTAGGAAAAAAGAATGAAAATGAATCAAAGAAATCTCTAAAAAATTTCACTTTAGATGAAAGATCTAATAAGATTCATCAGACATGGAATATACCAATAACTGAACTAACTTCTGCATTTAAAGTAATGAAATCTAAACATACAGCTACAAGAACTATACCTGAGAAAATTAAGAACAACTATTTGTCAGAATCTAAACATATTATTCATAAATCAAAAGATGTTCAAGATAATGATATAATGAAAAAAAATAATTCACAAATTAATTTTACAAAAATTGAAGAAAAACCAATGAAATCAAAAATTGAAAAAAATATATTTCCAAAAAAACAATCCAATACATCTATGAAACAATGTTCATTAGGCAAATCACAATCTAGAGTACTTACTTGTCAGTATCGAAGAACAAGCTTAATAAAATGTCGTAAGCGTTCAAATCAATTTGTAAGTCTTGCAGAAGCAATTCTCAAATTTCAAAATGGAACACCACAGAGATTTCGTACATTGAGTAACAAAGATTTAAAACCTACTCAATTGATGAAATTAAAACGATCTCCCTTGAAACTTACTTATCCAATTTCTCCTGCATTAAGATGTAAGCAGAGAATAAGACAAACTAAAATATTAAATCCAGAAAAGCGAGAAATGTTAATGCTTGAAGAAATGAAGAAATATAAAATCAAAGCAAATCCTGTACCAATTAATATTTTAAAAAATTCATCAATATTAAAAAAAGTAGACAAAAAATCAGCTACAATTACAGAAAAAGTTACAGAAAAATTTAATCAAACCCAATCAAAGAAAACTCGGCATACGACAAATTCTCAACTGAATTTGCAAGAACAGAAAAAAATTATACCTATTGTTCGTTCCATGAGTGCTTCAAATATTGTTAAAAAAGAAAATACTTGTATAGAATCTACTGTAGAAAGTACAAAACTTAAAAGATTAAATTTCGAAACTCGCAATAAAGAGTTTCAAAAGAAAAAGGAAGAAAAATTAAAAAACTTACAGATTCAAGAAACAAATAGCATTAAAACAGAGTTTCATGCAAAACCTGCACCTAAATTTTTAAAGTCAAATCCAATAAAAGAACAAAACACAAAAAAGAGAATAGTAGTCCCATGTCCATTTAGTTTTGAAGAAAGGAACAAATCTCTTGCTAATAAAAAGAAAGAACTTGTTAAACAATTGCAGGAACAGAATCAAAAATCTAGAGTATTCCATGCCAATCCTGTTCCAAACTTTAAACCTGTTGTGATTCATGGTTTATCTAAAGAAAACTTACATAGCAAAGAAAAATATAATTCCAAGCAACTTGAAGAAAGACAAACAAAGAATTGCAATGATCAAGAAAATAAACAACCTAATATTATGAATGTTACAATAGATTGCATAGATACAAAAAAAAAACAAATAAAACAACATGTAAATCATCTGATAAAACCTATTATTAAAAATGAAAAATCAAATAATGATCAGAAAAAAACAAGTAAATTTGAATTAAATGAAAAAAAAGAAATTCAAGAAAGTGAGTTTGATAAAAAGTTAAGTAAGAAAAAAGAAGAATTAAAAGCAAAAAAATTAGAAGAAGAAAAAAATAAATTGTTGAAAGAAAAATTAGAAAGAGCAGAACTGCGCAAAATGACAGAAGTAAAAGCTAGACCAATGCCAGTGTATAAATCTTTAATTGCAAAATCAACCAAGCTTCCACCCAATCCACAAACTCCTGCAAGAACCAAAACAAAAAGTGTTTCTTAATTTTAATCTTGATCTACATTATACAATTTAATTACATATGAAATATATAGAAGTAACAAACTATGATATGTTAGATAATATTTCTTTAAGATGTAACAAGTATTTAAACTTACTCACGCGCATACGCGCATATACAATATCATAATAAAGTAACTTTTTTTTAGAGAATGGTGCAATTGAATTTTAGATTTTAATGAAATATAAAAAATATTTCTCTGTTTCCTATAATTTCTAAAATTAAAAATTATCCTTTAAAAGATTTTCAAAGATGACTTATTAAAAATTAAAAATGATTTAGAAATATTTCAAATTATTAAACTAAATATAATTAAATAATTTTTTTTCTATATTTTCGATTCGTTACTTTTTTTAAATATATTCTCACTGACAAGATCATAAATAATTGTTTTAATACTTTTTTCTTGTATCACATATAAAATATATATAATAAATTTGTATACCAAGAATATTATATAGCTTCAACAACATAGTTTAATTTATTTCGAATGTACAAAGACCACACTATCATACATCTACTTTCTTTTATTTCACATCAGTCCGAAGAATAAAAAATATCAGTTTTGGAGACAATTCAATTGATTAAAAATATTATGATTAAAAAATTGAATACCATTATTGTATTAGGCAGCAATATTTTTTCTTTTTATCAGTGTAATGTGCCAATGAAATAGTTTTATCTTTATCATCCTATTAAATATACAAATTCTAATATTTCTTTTTCAGATATAAATATGATATAAAAAATTAAAAACATTTATATAGTAAATGGTCACAGTAGAAAATGAATATTGTAGACTGGTTGCTTCCATTCGAAATGCTAGCTTTAACTATAACACGTTTCTCGTAGGAGTTATAAATATTTTGTATCTTTAGAAATATTGTTTATAAATTATTCGATGTAACACAAAAATTACACTCATCGACGTACGCAATGTCTTAATTGACCCGTATATCATAAATTAGTGAAGAACTATAATATGATTAATTATTTTTAATTATTATCAATGTTGCTCTAATGAGCAAAAACTGAAATAACATGAAAGATTGTGCCTCAAAAAATAAAGGCAGAAAGAATATTGAAATCCATTTATAATACACGAGTCAGAATATTTTTCCCTTCAAATAATATATTACGAATCGACTCCATAACTGTTTACAAAATTCACGAAAAAATATTCGGTGTTTCAAATGCATCGAAAAGGCTGTTATTTCTTTTTCTTTTTTCCTTTTCCTTTTTTTTCTTTAAAATTTGCAAAATAATTGTTAGTACCAAAAAAGAAAAAAAAAGAAAAAAATTAATGAAAGAAAAGAATGTGTTGAATATAAAACAGCGATTTCTTTTCACAGCAGTTTAGTATATAATTAATTCAAGTATAAAATTCCAAAAAACCATTGTATAATAGTGGCCATTTTGGAATGTCATACTTGTATGCAATATTGTACAAATAAAAATCAATTAAAATCATAAAATCCGCGTAACGATCACTATATGTACGTGTTCCGTTCGCATAAATTATGCAATGCGTTAAGTAGTATCTCGTGTTATGAGGCACACGGTTCTTAGTGAATCGAAATGGCAGACTCATTGTACAGATCCCAAGAAATCGTCTCGTCAAAGCTCCTTTAATAGAGCAGATTTTGCATTTTTAAGTTTGTCTAATCGCCTTTGTAAATGAGAATTTGCTGTTTCCAATTCTTCTACACGTCCTTGAGTCTCTCTAACCTATAACAAAAATTCCTCGTTTATTTTATTCAACGAGATTATTGAAGTTAAAAATATTGAATAAAATTTCTTACTTCTCTTTGTAATTTTCTCTTTTCAACTTTTAATTCATCTTCCGCTTTTTCAGATGCTTCTGCTGCCGACTTATAACGTATTACTTGGCTTTCTAGCCTGGCTACAGTAGCTTGTAAAGTAGACATATCTTGTTCAGCTTTTTGGAGTTTAAATTTATAATCTGCTAAAAGCTTGTTTGCTTCTCGTTGCACATCTTCAGAATCTGATAAACAGCCTAGAAAAAAATATTATAATTAATTTTAAAATATTAAATATTATGTTATCATTTAAAATATAAGAAAATTTTTATTGATAATAATATATTTTAAGAATACGAACCTAATACTGAACCAGGCGATCTTTCGGACCTAATACGATTTCTTGTTTCTTCTAATTCCAATCTTAGATGTCGTATCTCATCTTGCAATTCTTTTTTTTCGGAAGCAAATTTTCTCAGTCGGACATCTATAATTTATTACGAAATACATACATATTATTATGTTAATATATTTTTTTCTTTGAAAAGAATGATTTATTTTTTACAATTATATACCTAATGAACCTTTTCCAGCATTTTGCAATAACTCTGCTGCTTCTGTACTGACTAGTACTCTTCGTCTAGGACGTGAGCCATTTTCTATATCATTATCTTCATTTTCACTTCCTTCATCATCAATAATAACTAGACCATTTTCCTGAAATAATTTTATATTTTAATTATAAAAATAAAATGAATATAATATATTTATTAATACGAATTTTCTGTTTACTTACTTGTATAAGCGTATCTCTTTCTACTAGTTGTGCATGGCATACATCTAATTCATCTTTCAATGTTTGACTAAGTCTTTTCAATTGTTCGGACTCCCGATTCTTTTCTCTAAGCTCTCTACGAAGTTGTGCAACTGTTTCTTCCAATTCTTCCAATTTATCTTTCAATAGATCGACTTGATAAGCATATGAAGATTTTTCATTGTCTAATTGAGCATTAGCTATCATTGCTTTTCTAAATTTTTCTTCAAATTCTTTTAATTCTAACTGTAAAATAAAAATTTGAAAGAATATTTATATATTTGAAGAAATATATAGTTTGTTTTAATTGTCATTTATATTGTGAGAAAAGAAAAAGATGTAAATACCCTAAGATCTCTGCTTAGGCCAGCATCTTCCAGTGAATCTTCGGAAGATCTACGACTGGATTGAAAATTATTAGAATTCGTAAGAAGTCGTGACGTTCTTACAGAATCAGGAGTTACTCTCATTGTTCTATTCACATCGGCTGAAAAATTAGAAATGAAATATTTTATTGCACTATAAAATTTTTTTTAGCATTAATTCTTTTAAAGAAATACCTGAACACATATCATATACCCTATCTGCATTCTCCTCTGCCTCTTTCTGTTGTCTTTCTAATTCTCGCATTCGTATTTCTCTAGCTTCTGCTCTTGCCTGTCTTCTAGCAGCTAATCTAGCTTCTGCCTGAAAGTATGTATGGAAAATCCATCCTGTTACCAAAAACATAGTTTTACATTCAATTTATTATTAACACATTGACACATGATATACAAGCACTGTCATAAATGTATTAGATAAATAATATTATTAAATTTTATATGAAAACATGCTGGAATATCAATTTGGATCAACAAATACTTACTTTATATTTAATTTCAATCAAAAAATAAAATATTAACTATAGATTAATAATTGTGAAATACAATATACACACCTATGTCTCACCTATTTAATAATTTCCTTTACACATTCTCTTTTAAAGATAAACTTATCAAAAAAGATATAAATCCCCACTTACTAGAGCCATGCACACATGTAAATACTGAAGGTCAAGCACACTTATAGCAACATATATTAACATATTTTCATTCTTGTTAGGTAATATACAATTTGTAAATTATATAAAATTTAGAGGTTTTAATATTATTTTTTTTTATCAACTCCATTTTATTACATTCTTATAAAGTAATCAAGTCATACCTCTTTAGCTATCTGATCAAGAGCTTGATCTTCTGCTGAATGTCTTGCGGTTGTCCGCCTACGTCCAGCTATAGCAGACTCCATTTTGTATTCAATGTTATAATATTTATATTTTGCTTGTATCCAGAATTTGAGCTAGGCAGATCCGGCTCCTTCACCGTATAAGAAGAGAAACCACCATACTAAAGGACATAGGGACAATATGGTAGAGCTAAAAATGTGAGCATGATTTAAAGCATGATTAATATAGGCATGATAACTGGATGTATTATACAAATAGGAAAATAATGTTTGCAACTTAACTAGATATAAAGCATTAATGTTAAAACATTATATAAAAACTTATTTCTGATGAATTATATAAAAATTTATTTGTGATATATTATGATAATATTTCAACCATTATAATACAGCTTAATTGCATTCTGAATTGCTGATAATTATACATTATGCAACAAAAATACTTTATATGTAGATAATGACACAAATGGAAAATTATCATTTCATTAAGAATTAATGAATATTAATAACGGAAAACTAAAATATTTTAACTATAAATGTGAAAGAAAATTCGTACTTTTTTAAAAGTTATAGGTTGACATAGATAACATGTGAAGATATATTTGAAATAGAAATATAAAAAAGAATCTAGCACAGGTAAAAATGGTCTTTCGTAGTTCTAACGTTACGTTTTCATGCTAAGAATAACATCTTCATGGTATAGTCTAATTATGTATTTATTCGATTCATTTTTATTGTACCATAACGCGTCTAACGATTCCCCCATAAAAATTCGTATTTGTTGGTATAATTGACAACGACGACATAAACGACAAACACGATTATGAATTTATAATACAAACGAAATAAAGAGGCTAGCAATCGAATTGCACGTTCAACGAAATGTATTAAATAGACTTGCACACCCACACATCACGTCAGACCAAACACATGCAAATAAGACCTTACTATAGTCGTCAATCATCTTTTTCTTCTTTCTTTTTCTTTTGATTTTTTTTTCAAAAATTTTCCTAATTTTATAATCCTATGGTTAAAGGGACTTACAATGCGAGAAAAGCTGTCAGCCAGCGGATAGGCGCATCTTTTTCTCAAAGGAACCGCATGCAAAAATAAACTGGAGGACACTATAAATACAATCAATGGAAATCGGATGAGTTCGCCACGATGACCATCTGTGGCCAGAGAATTAACGATGCGGTTTCCGTTTAGTTGACCCACGAGTCCATGGAATTTTCCAATTACCGGTTCGAATTACGCTTACGCGATTCAACAGTTAACCTTGTACCTCCTATAGGCGAAAGCTTGTAAAAACAGTGCGTGTAATCGCACTTAAATATAGCGGAAGACACATTTT